GTCATATAAATGAATATTGCTCAGTTCTGACCGTGCGTATAGCAGGCGGAAGGTACCTACTTAATTCCCGCGGTCAGATAAGTTAGTAAGGAGAACTGATAGGTAATCATTTATAGACGAGCCAGTTTAATTTACATTAAAAAATAATGAATGACCCGGGCTTTGGCACAAAAAGTGATGTTTTTATAGTGTTATCGCAGCGAGGGTCGCGTTATCAGCGGACACGGGGCGGGCGCTGAGCTTCCGTCCGCGGCTCGCGAAATACCGTCTCCGTGCGAGAAGCGCGGTGACCTACATACATAGTTATAGTTACATACGTGCACATATAACAATCACTATTTAATGATGTCTGACTACTTGTTACAGTAACGTAACATCACCTCTTGCCATGTTGTTGCTACCCTGGATAGGAAGGCACAAGTGCACAATTTCAATCTAACACTGTAGTTTTGTTTACACTATTAATATCTCTGGACTCTAGTCTAGATCAACATTGTATTACTTAAAATAACTCTGTAAAAAACTGCGACATCTTAAAATAGGTACAAATATCCGTATTTACTACACAAAATGCATGCAACCATTGCACGGTCCACGGTGCAACAAACAGTCGTATCTCATAAGTTTCAGTCAGGGAGGATGCGTCATCATTGGATATTATTAATTTTGTACATAAATCATGTTTTCCAGCGACCATCTAATAAATGTAACTCATTCCTAGAATTTTGTATTGCCATGTTTGTCGTACAGGGGGATGCGCTTGTATAATATTTATAACATCTTAGATGCCTCGGTGCTGACTATGGTTTATCAGTTTTTATGATGTCACAAATAGTGGTATCAAATGTTAGTAGTAGGAGTTTATAGTCATACTATAACGAATAGGGGATTGTAGACACACGATATAGGCAAGCAATGGGGCTTACCTACTATTAAAGCTAGAACGAGTATCGCATATCGTTCTGTAGCGTGTAGACAGTAGTCAAGTTTATGGTGGCAGTTGCAGGTTGAGTTGGTTTAGATATGATTATGCTGGAACTGTTGACGAAGGGTACCAGAACCCGCCTGGTCCTGGCCAGCGTGGCAGCCCCATACGACACGTCCGCCGCCGCCGCTCGCCGGCCACGAGGTTGGAAGGCTATCGCTACAGATAATGCGGGTTCAAAAATAATGATGACAGACCCGTTTTAATTAAAAACGGTTACCAAAACATAAGAATTGGGTTTAAGTAGATTAAAATAATAATGTTTCATTTAAATGGCCCAGTTAGTTATGTTTTATTTATTAAAACAAAATAATGAATTGATTAAGGAATTCATATCAGTGACAACAGTCAGTAATAAAATTGTTATTATGTATTTTTATCGAATGCTTTGAATTATACACTGATATGTAAAATACATATCTAATTGGAAAATACTGATTGAAGAAACGAGATATTTGCTATATTTATAAGTATATTAATGAAAGATATGATAGCCAAGGATAAACATATGAGTGGATACGTATCGGACCTACCTACCACCTAGTACCGACAATCCGACACAATATATTATCAATTGCCTACTAGCGAGGAACACTCCGTACAGTCATTCAGCGGCACACATATATTGCGGACATTGCGTGCAGCTGTACATCTGCATCTGCAACAATCATTAGTAGACCGAGTGTGTGTAGCTGAGGCGCATGTAGCTTCCTTCAACTAAACCTCCCTCGGTATTATTTCTGTTCGTTGTTGTCCTATCTAGAACTAGGTACTTGTAAATCAGTGGTAAAAAAACGGTGCATAAATAAGTAGGGTATGAGTTTGAATACTGACTACACCTACCCTTTCCACCTCATAACAATTCTATAAAACAGCGACGTATTTCTAAAAAAACCTAAGAAGTCTAAGTAAAAATAAGCCTAACCAAATATCGTAGGTGTTGTACATCCTGTACATACTTGCAATATTATGGTTCGGGTGCCGGCCTAGATGTGTTGCGCATGGATGGCGGCGTGACGCGGTGACGTGCTCCGGCCACGTATTTAGGTCGAACACAAACGACATGGAATACCTAACCTACACGTTCAGATTTTCTCAAGAAACGAACGACATTACATTATTTTGATATCCATGGGTTTGCGCAATAATACGATGTGTAACAATGAGGTAGGAAATTGGAATGCAATAAATAATCTCCAAGTGGATATGGACATGACTCACATGATGCACTTCCCGGCAACACCCATGCAGTATAGGCAGTTACTAAACAATTAAAAGTAGATTACATAGATGTGTAGTATTATTTATCATACTGTGATGCAGACAGATATGGAGTAGAAAGAACTCTTAACCAGAGTCTGTGTGTTAAGATTCAGGATACGTACACGAGTGAGAGATGTGTGTTTCATCGTGGACCGATCTTATTGTTTTGTATCAGCTGTGAGCTGGCTCTACTCATTCCTTCCTAACCATGTGACTGCAATGTTGTCACGGGGCCGTAGGGGTGCAACAGTCGCAGCTCAATTGAGTCAATTGTAGGACACCCGCAACCTACAGCTTTGGCTGGATGTGACGTCAGCCTGCCACTGAGACACTGCCGCGTCAGCTGGTGTCAACAAATTGCTTCCAATCAATTTGTACATAATAACAACAGTTAGTGGAGTATATTGTATATCAATTGCGGGCATTTTGTACAGTGTGTTATTATTTGTCGTCAGTTCCATCTTGAAATATTTTTCAAATGATATCATTAACGCACAATACCGTGCGGAGTGCTTGCAGTGCAAATGTAACCCGCGATCAAGTTACAGACGCTCTGTTTGAGCGGCTCCTGTTACCCCTGTATCGGTGTGCTGACTTGGCGAAACAATGCATACCTGCATGCACATAATGTAATACATATTATGAAAATGCTCATCAATGAATACTTTATCGACAAAGAGGAACTTATGAGTAGGTACTGCCATTAAACTAATGGTATTAGGGTTTCCACCTAGCCTTACCAACATAATGAAATAGGAACTAAACTTTAACATAATTAATAGTTACATTGGTGTAGTGACCACAAGTGCGACTGCCAAACAAGAAGTATGTATGTATATTATAAAGTCGTGGTAGCACAGAGTGTAGAACCATGTCCAGTAAATGGTATATATATAAGTACAACAAATAAGTAATGATGAGTATGTTCATAAATAAATCCTTATCGATGACAAGTGGTCCAATGTTATAGGATAATTACCTGTTAATAACAAAATTCTAGCAAAAATATGAATGTAAAATGAGTACCGAGTTGCTATTTAGAACAATAATATAATAATTATGATATATTGACGGCTAAAACATTATCGATAGGCAATAAAAACTAGTCAAGTCAGTAGTTCATCTAACTGTAATCTACTGGTGTCCGGTACCAAGTTACAAACATGCTAAGTCAAACATATTGTTTTGTATTTTCATCTCCCTCCGTAAAAATGGAGGCCAGCTGAGGCTGGGAGCAACCCTCGACATATCGTAATTAAAGTAATAAAACAAAGGCTAGGTAAGCACATATGACATACAGCAGTGCAGCGTAATGTAGTCCCTGGGCTGGGCGCTGCGTGTGTGTGTTACAACTGATACATTCTCGGAAGCCTCGTAAAAACTATACGAGTTGTGCAGATGTGGATGAGGTCATCAGACCACTGTCCACGGGCGCGCGGCGTCCTGGCGGCCGTTAAATTAAATCATCGTGCTATATAGATAACAAAATTATCTGCTCGAATCATATTTTTAAACAATCAGACCTTAGAGACCAAGGATTACGAGGTTATCGCATTAAAACAATCTACGCATACGTTATTACATTATCCATTCTGAGTATTGTTTAAAAGTTGCATATTATGTAGTTACCTACAACGGCTTATTTAATTTTATTATGTTTTAAATTCTCGGAAATATAACTTGTCGCCATGTAGTATGATGTAATGTATCCTCTGCCGATTGATAACAACCCTAGAGTAGAGCTTGGCCAGTCGAGTAGGCTGTGTGTGGCACTCCCTGGCACGGCTGGCGCAGTGCGCGCACGCCGCGCCTCACACAGCTTCCAGCGCGATGTAGGCTGCGCTGGGGTGCGTTGCCCTCGCTCGCCCCTCGATACCGCGTGCCATTGACACCGTGAACCCTTCCAAGTACCAACCAGGCTCTCATTGCGCTTACATTACTCTGACTACATCTTTTAATCAAGTAGGTACAAAAAAAATGTGAACACTGAAAAAGAAAGTTAAACCTGTTAGATTCTCTCTTATCGTTATAGTGTGACTCGAAACTATAGTAGAGCTTTTCGCAGTATATTTACATGAGTACCTCGTCATTTTTAGTCAATCCAGGATGTCTCACGATAGTGATTAATTAAACCAGGGATTTTTATTAATAAATACCTCGCCATAAGCAGTAACGTAACAATCTTATAAATGTAATCAATTAAATTCGAGGATCAATACGACTCTCGAAACTTGTAGTAGGTATGGGAGGTAACTACAATTTGATTCTTGGAAGTCGCTAGTTGAATGGAATAGTTCAGTGCACCGGACATCGACATAAACTCGATATGCGCGTAAATAGCACGCGTGTAATATGCACGCTGCCGCTGTGGCGAACTGCACGGTGACTAGGTATACGACGATGCGATGGTGGGCATAATATAGTTCGGCACGGACAGCGGCCACGCGGCCGCGGCCCGGGGCCGCACGTCCTGCCAGCTGCCACACAATGTTACTGCTCACTGGAACTGTTAAAGCTTTTATTTTTACAGCATCACATAAAACAAAACGACTTCAAACTGGGTCATTCATGGAAACATTATTCGGATATTTCACTAGTTTGCTAACTTTAGGAGTACCTATATATAAGGAATGATGTATGTACCACCTACCAACCATAGACATATGAAGTTTGTTATTTGATCATCTGTAATAGTAATCATTGCTCATCCAACCCGACGCACGCAAGGTAAGTTTGTTTCGTATTCTTGCAGGTACCTGAATAAGTTGAACAATGAGGGGTCTCCTGGTGCTGGCCCTCGTGGTCGCAGTTCTATGCACAGTCGATGCTGAGGTGAGTTACATCTCATAATATTGTCCTATGTGTCCGCTTGCAATGTGTCCATTAATGTTTTGGTGGATGAAGCATTCAGTCCGGGAAACAGAAATAGATGAGAGTAAACCGTATACAAATACATATTATCAACCGCGGTAGGAGCATGGTTTTAACGAGGTATGTTGTGGTTGCAGCGTCACCGGCGACGACACCGACGGCTCCGGACTACCACCACGGAGCGACCAGCTCCGCCGGAAATAGCGGTGCCAGTGCGCGAGGACTCAGAGGCTGAGCACCTCGAGCTCGGCATGGCGGAGAGACTGGACGAGAGGCGCTTCCAGGTGAGGAACATAGTCACCAATATTACAAGCAACTACTGCTCTATAGGCTCACATTCTATTTACAAAAATAATATTATAGAAACTCAACATTGAAAGCTAACAGTAAAATGACATTTACATAACTAATAACACAAGGTGCCCCGTGCCATGTTGCAGGATGCGGAGAGGTCACGTGTCAACGAGATCATGAACGAAGCGTCCTCGCGCGAGGGCGTCGGCAGCGACAACGAAGTCAACGTGTTAGACGGTCAGTGGCAGTGTCTTCGAGTCGTCAGGTGGCTTACCATCACAGTAATTCTATGAGACTGAGTTTTGTTTGTGTCACAGATCCCTGTCTGAGGGTACACTGCAGCGCTGGACGCGTGTGTGAGATCGACGAACACGGAGACGCTGTCTGCAACTGCATCAAGGAGTGCCCATACGAGACAGACTCTCGCCGCAAGGTATATCTATCTAACAAGTTATTGTAATGTAATTAACAAAGCTCAAGTGTTGGTTCATCTAGTTGAATGTGCTGTAGGTACGCTGTGGACATACATGTCGATGTGTTGTAGGTGTGTACGAACCACAACGAGACCTGGACGTCAGACTGCGAGGTGTACCAGCAGCGCTGCCTGTGCCTGGACGGGTCCGAGCTGTGTCGCGGCCCGCAGTACCACCACGTGCAGATCGAGTACTACGGCACGTGCCGCGAGATGCCGGTCAGTGCCGCCTGCCACCAACGTTGTGGCCTCTAGTTTACCTACATTAACTAATGTAGAAGAACTAAGTAAGGGTTTATTTTATGTCTATACCATCTTTACCTCAGGAATGTAGCGAGAACGAGATGTTGGACTTCCCCCGGCGCATGCGTGACTGGCTGTTCAACATAATGCGTGATATGGCGGAGAGACGCGAGCTGACTCCTCATTACCTGAAGATGGAGCGCGAGGCCGAATCCAACCTCACCCGGCGCTGGACTAACGCAGCCATCTGGAAGTGGTGCGACCTCGACGCGCACGACAACGACAGGTACCCCTGAACCTCCACATCCACCCTGCACTACAGTTTATTACTTAAATTTAAATAATGCAACTGAGCCTAAAAGGGTAGAATTCTTCTCCATGCGAAACTACGCTGTAGAACGGTGACAAAACGTTGTGTGATGTCCGACATAGATTTTAAAATGATGACATGACTCGGCAGGTTCGTATCCCGGCACGAGCTGTTCCCGATCCGCGCGCCGCTGATGGCCTTGGAGCACTGCATCGCGCCCTTCCTGGACCGCTGCGACGAGGACGACGACCACCGCATCACGCTCGCCGAGTGGGGCAAGTGTCTGCAGCTGGACGAGGTATTACCATATTACTTATTATAAATATGTTATAGACCGGCCAGCTTTGAACAGGGGAGTCATATTCACAGGGTTTTTTTACCAATTTATAGCTATACTATAAAAGATTCTTTATTTTTTAACCGTCTTACTTATCTATCGAGGTTCATGAGATAAAGCATGACAAAGTGTACTATACTGTGAAAGATTATCTTGAGGGGAATCCTTATGGTCAATAATTAATTTAATTTATTTGACATTGCTTGTGTGACATTCTATAATATAATTGACAATTACTTTTTTACATTTTAGCTAACTTGACATTAATTTTTTGACTTCAGTGGTATGAATAATATTATATTTTCTTTGACTTTATTGTATTCTAACAACATTACAAATAATTCAATTCAATGGACCTAATTTTATTATGTAACTATTTTTATAACATATCTTTGCACGCCAAGTTAAGGCAAAATATGGAGAAACTATAAACTTTGTTAACACCTATATATTATTTACCCATGTTTACCAAATGATTAAATGAATATGAATATGAAAGCCTGACAGAGGTGGCAGACGAACAGCAGAGTCATATAGGAATAGCACAGTATAGATAACAAGTGACCCTGTTGTAGAAGGCTACTTTCTACCTGACTTCATGGATTTCTATTTCAATACAAGTAATATGTGATGGGGAGTATCAGTTGTTGCAATATGCGATGTTGTTGCAGTACGAGCTGGAGGACCGCTGCGACGAGTTCACCGAGGACCCGCCGGCCGGGCTCTGAGCGGCGCGCCCACACTGCAGCACACAGTCGGATGGTTTCTCTTAATGTTAAGTACGCTATGTTACGTTACATAAATAATATTTCTAAAGTAAATGAACCGTTACGCAGCGGCGCCCGTGCGCTCATGTAAATAGCAATTACTGTGATCACGCTACCAAAACTTTGTCGTTTTACAATAAATTCTAGAAAGTATTTCCATGTTTCTTATTCAATGTCCGAGTCCTTGGAAGCACCCAGGAGCTGTTCATCGTCTTCAGTTAAATGTAGTGCGGTAAATTAGAATTATACACACAATTTATTCTATTAAATGTCAAGGGGATGCCTATGCTACATAACGAGAGTACCTATCTGATGACATAATGGCGGATTGAAGGTTAAACATAATGAACGCAGCGACGAGCAAAACCAGTCGACCGACCTAGTTAGTGCTGGGCGACTCGAGCTGCACATTCGTATAGTCAACACCATGTCCACCTCCGGCACTCGGCTCGGCAGGTACCTGCGTCAAACTGGCAGTAGGTACTGCGTACTGAGTACTGAGTACCTACCTTTACTGACATTGCCAGCTCCTGGTGAACTAGCAACTACGTATTACCGAGAGAAACAACACAGGCATTTCAGTTTTTTCTTAATAAACTATTTCCAATAACAATTTCTCTTTTTTTTCTCCTAACCTTTTCCCGACTAGGTTGTAATCAGTAGATAACTACGGCTAAATGTCAGTACCTATGTTACCCATTTACTTTATTCTTGGTAGGACGAGTTAATGTCGTTGTAACAACTATAGTTAGGTTACTGGAGCTGTCTGCTCTATTGTGTTTACAGTGTCCAAAAATAAACTCTTTTTATCAATTTGAAGCATTAACTTGAACTTCAAATTTTCTTTATATTGAAGCACATGACTGCACGGTTGGCGCGTTGGCTGGGCAACTGGCTGCCGCGCAACGTGTCGCGCGTTCGATTCCCGCACGAAAAAACTCTTTGTGTGATATATCTAGGGGCGTCGACCACAACCGGGATCTGCGATTGTAATGACATCCTTGTATAGAAGCGGAGGTGAGATAAGTTCAGATTATACGCGGACGTGGGCCTGGCTCATTATTGTAGTAGTACATTATACAGTATTACCTGCAGATATACCGATACTTGGCTCATTGATACTCATCTAATTAGTAGATAATACGCTATCGCATACATAATATGGTGTAAACATCGTGACGTAGCGTTTGACATGCCCAGCAGTCAGTGAACACGTGCAGGCTCACGGACAGCTCCGTCACGTCGGCGGTCACCCCTACGCTCCACGATCACATAATAATATCTAATTGACTTTTTCAACGTATAGAAGGTATTAATAATGCAGTAAAACTTTTTAGGGCAATTGATTAATTAAGTATAGCGGTTAGCGGTTGGGCAGGTGCTTGACTTATGCCTGAGGTCAAACATCCCCTAGATAAAGTTTATGCATCATCTGTTGAGAGTTGCTAACACTGCACTGACTGTCGTAGACTGTCTAGGAACTCAATTAATTCCTCGTCGGTACCGGTGGTACAGACCCTTCAATAGTATTTTCTTTACTTATTAAGAACCTTCTTACTTTGTAATAAAGTCAAAACAACCTAGATCAAGTTGGCTTGCTGGCGTCTAGGTAATAGGTACAATAAGAAATTATTAAGTTATCACACAGCGATAATATCGTATAATTATTATGACAGGAAGTATTTAATTACTCATTATTATTTAATGATTTATAGAAACAATGCTAATGTAAGGTAGCATTGAGTGCTCTGTATGCGCATGCGTTTGGTTGGATCAATGCGAACGATCAGGACTTTCAGCATTACTATCTGAGCTATTGGTGGAACTGGTGTTAATGAAAGAAGGCTCCATGAAGGGTCACAAATAGTCTGCATATAAGTACATCTCTCACTGCGTAGTAATGATGATCGTTGCGTAGGTAGGAGCCTACCTTGTTTCTTGAAGCGACTTTGTTAAATAAGTAAAATCGTAAATGGATAAAGTTTTACGGTTAATGTGGAGTTCAGTAAATAGTCTATTAATTTTTGTATTGTAACTTTCGTGAGACATACTAAATAAATTATTATGTTTTCGGCTTACTCACGTTGTAATTCGACGAGGAACTCGACTAGTTTCAAGCCATGCTAGAGGCTGTAAGGAGGTGAGGAAGCCGAAAACATAATAATTTAGTCTATTAATTTGTTTAACAATTTCAACATTCTTACTAATAAGTAATATACGAATACAACGTGCGTATAGCCGCACTGGTTCTGAATAGTATCTACATATGTAACAGACACACGCGTGGACGAGCGCACGACTGCACGAGCAAACGACACAACAGGTTTAAACAAATCGTTGTTTGATTAGATGATGACGGGACGATATGGCAAATGAAATCACGAAGCTATAATTGTTGTCAGATCTGGTAATTACAAAGATAATATATCGAACCGATAGCGACGGTCTGACACGGATCATGTAATTTTCCTGTTACAGAAATAGATTATGTCACCACTGTTATTGACGAAAGCGGGTAATCCGGGTATGCCCTCAAACTGCGAGCATCCGTTTAAGGCGGGGCACACTCGGGGTTCTGTGAATTACGTAAACTGAGGTCCCAAGCCAAAACGTGAGGACGATGGAACGAAAGGGTGGTTTCATTCAGTTGTGGAAAGCTACTTATTGTCTGCCTGCTGAGGTTGGCATACATTATGGCGACGGCTAACATAGTCTGTCTAACGAAGCGATGCCTAAAAGGATTTCCGATATGGTGGCGTGATATTTTATTATCAACACAGATAATTTATCAGCGATCTCATAAAAAGTGGTTTAATTATAACCACAATGTCAACAATACAAAATTGTTCGATAATTAACTAATTCAAAGTTTGCGATGGCTGCGATAACTGGCAACACTGGCCGAGAAATATGTGCTACTCTAGTGTTTCCAGTATCATTACTTCTTACCAATATTATACCCAAATGCGAAAGTTCGTGTGTATGTGTATGTATTGTATATAAAATTTTCATTGATTACATTTTTGGGATCAGTGTCTATCTAGTAACACGCCCAACTATATACCTAATTATTTTTTAAATATGTTTAATGTACAGAATTTACACTTCTACAGTTTTATTATATGTATAGACTAGCGACCCGCCTCGGCTTCGCACATTCGAACATCGGACTCATAACATAATTAGTGAAAAGTGGGTGTTACATTGTACTGTAGTGGCATTAATTAATTAAGTGCTGTAATCTGCATCTATGCCTACCACTTCGGGGGTTAAAGGCGAAGTGATATTATATATGTATTTTTGTAGACACACTAATTTTGAGAAATAATCAAGAATTTGAAATTTTGAGATTTGACCTCAAATAACATCTGAAGCACTATGGGTCTATGGGGACATACATGGGTCTATGGGGACTTAATTTTCTATCTATAGGCACCAAATGAATAATCACCAAAAATAGAGTGTTGTAATTATTGTAAGACAGTTAAATCACAATAAGGCTTTGTAGTACTAAAATATAAAATAAATTAATACCTTCCTCTATTGAACTTACCTATGTGTAATTGAAAATTTTATTACTTATTATTACGTTCATATTCGCAATATTCGCATTAAAAAATATGCGAAAAATTCGCGAATGCGAATAAACGTAAAACAAACTCGTACAAGCCCTCAGGACAAGTGTAACAAAGCCATTGCCTTTCCGCTGGCGACATGTTGGTCCTGTTAACTGTTTCCAGTCACCAAATAGACGTAGGTAATGAAGGTAGATTAAAAATCTATCTTCTATCTATGTATACATACTACTCTGTCAAGAAAGTACCGGAAAAAGATCAATAATAGGTACACAAAATGTCTGTTACTATTTATCAAAATTTAGTTTATCACCTTCAAAGTATGCTCCTTTAGAAACGATACACTTGAGCCAACGAATAATCCATTCATCAAACTATTTTTTAAACGCTGCTTCCGGAATTGAGTTCAGTTCTCGCCGCGAATTCTCCTTTATGTCTTCTATCAATTGAAAACGGGTGCCACGAAGTGGTAATTTGACTAGTTTGAATGTCAAACTCGTAAACCCACATCCCGTCACCAGTAACAATGCGTTTCATGAATTTTGGGTCCGAACTGACTCGTTCTAGCATGTCCTCAGTATAGTTGCAAAACTTCTGAAAAATTCTGAATAATTCCGGAATACTTCTGAGAAAGTTTCTTTAAATCAGAATTATTCAAAATGACTGTTTTACTTACACAACAAATTATATCTCAAAAAATAAATTAACGAAAAGTTAAAATTTAAAAAGATTTTGAAATACAGATTTATTTAACCCACTAGAAGTCACTGTACTCGATTGAGTAGGTACAGCCTTATCTCGAAGTGTAAATTACAGATCTTGTAAATTTTAAGTAATTTACCTTATTATTTTTTTTACTTATTATTTTACTTCGTTACGCTGTACTCAATCGAGCACTTTTAATAGGTTAATACAATTTTCCCGATTTTTTTCTGACAATTGAAATATTCCCAAAGTTTCAGAATATTTTGGAATGCTTCCGAAATATTTGACGGGAATGATTCGGAATTTTTCCCGCCAGCATCTATAGTCCTCAGCGAATTTCATGCGATTGAATTTTTGGAGAAAATTCAAATCTTTTGGGACTAGCTGAGCAGCAACATGTTTCATACCCAATTGATTAGTTAAAATGGTACGGATCGACTCGTGAGATACAGAAGTTCGGCGGCTATATCTCTCAGAGTTGAATGGGGATTTTCAGTCACTATTTCCTTCACTTTTGTGATGTTAACTTCAGTTGCACACGTTGACGGCCTACCAGAGCGAGGCAAATCTTCCATCACATCTCGACCGCTTTTGAACCCTTTGAACCACTCATAAGCACAAGTTTTTGATAAAGTCGTTTCACCGTAAGCCTTCTGTAACATTTTCAGTGACTTCGAACACGAAATTCCATTGGCGATGCAAAATTTAACACAAACGCTTTGTTCTATATTTTGGTCCATTATGAAATTCGCAATAGTGTGTATTGCTAATTTCATATATATGATACTAGCTTCTGCCCGCGACTTCGTACGCGTAATCCCATTTTTTCCCGTCCTCGTTCGTGATTTTCGGTAAAAAGTAAAAAAAAGTATT